TTTCGTGAGAAAAGACCGAGCTCGAGGGCCGAGTGATGTGAGCAATGTATATATGTGAGGTTGGATGGGAAACATTACCTGTAGTAGTAATGGACTCCCAGCTAATCTGGTTGTCTCATGATGGTAAAAGGCGTCTAAGCCCATCAACGTCTCAGCCAGAGTCATGGCAATACAGCTCTTGCCCTCCTTCAAACCTTGGGCAACCTCGATTAGCCGGACGCTGGACCCTCCGGAGCCTGAGACGAGTAGAAAATGAGATAGCATGCACAAACAGAGGGCGTGTCGTTGAAAGCCTTGCCAGTGATGGTTGTCGCAATCGCCGGCACCAGAAAACTTATCGATCAAACTCGGAATATCCAACATTCCATCACAAATCAGCGACCGAGCATCACGCATACTGAGCCCACACATTCGCCCTAAGGATTGAGCATGGCCGAAGTTAAGTTGGGGTAGGAGCTCTTCGTCGCGTTCGGACTCCATTAAGACTCGGAAAACCTCGAAAGTAGGACATATCTCTTGCCCAGCGAAGCTAAAGACATGCGTCACCGGATTCCAAAATTTTGCTGCGGCATGGAGAAATGGGAGGTACAATGGGGTACGACCCAGAGTGAATAGTGCATTGATGCCGAAACCCCAGAAATTCACTTTTTCCGAGCCATCCAAGCTAGCAATCCAAGCTGCGAGATTTTGAGCAAGAAACTCTTCCATTTGGAGCAAATCAGTGTGAAAGTAAGAAAAACCACGAAGCTGGGGTCTTTTGTAGGAGATAAGGTTGAGTGGAGGACAGGTGTCAGCATTCTGCTGATCCCCCATTAAGTGCCGGCCGGCCAAAAATCTTTGCCGACCGACCATAAGTTTGTGCCGACAGTGTGATTTTATGGCCGGTGGCCATCCCCCTCGGCCGGTGGCTTCCACCCCTGGCCGGTAGGCTTCCTCTTGGTTTCCTGAGCTATTTTGCTAGGCATTGGGGAAGTTCACCACCTCCGATTCCCCCCCCCCCGGTGATCGATTCTTGCGAGGTCACACCTGTCTGCTTGCCAGTTATTGTGCATTTGCTTATCGAGTTGTATTTCACTCTCTTTGAGCTCTTGATTTGTTTATCGAGTTGTGTTTACGCTTGTTTGATTACACCGTGTCTTTGTTTTGCTTATCGAGTTGTAAGTCGGTTCACTACCTGATTATTACGATGCGAATTTTTAGCATTCGAAATAAGTTCAATTTCATTCGCATTGTGGTGTGATACCTTGCAATGCGATGCACGGAAAGTTTACAAATGCGACACCTTTTGAATAAAAACGGTAGTTTCATTCCCATCACGTGTTTTGCGAAAATGTTTGATTTTGAGGAAAATATAACCTGCCCGAGGCAGTGCAATGTGCTTAAACTATCAGTAAAAAGGAAAGTAAGGCATAGAATGGCAGGGTAGCAAAGTATCAGAATTGGTACCAGTGAAACTCCCCTAGCGGTCAACGCATCTCCTGCACCTCTGTTTGGGTCAACCACATCGTTTGACGCCTTCACAATGCGGGAGAGCGCACCTTTGAAACGTGATCCCTCGAGTTGACCTCAGACCACAACTTAGGCGAGCGATGCTCGATGTGCGCAAAGAATGTCCCGTCCCGTATCCTTTTCATGCCTTGTGGATTCCATAAATTGTTTCAATTATGCTGTGTAAAAGATCATTTCCTCACTTGCGTAGACCGCATGTTAATTACATTACCTGCGTAGACCGCATGTTTGTACTCATTTCCTTAATTGCGTAGACCGCATTATCTAATTTCCTTACTTGCGTAGACCGCATGTTAATTCTTTACTTGCGTAGACCGCATGATTATTGTTCAATTTCTTTACCTGCGTAGACCGCATGTTTTGATTGCGTAGACCGCATTATCTAATTTCATTACCTGCGTAGACCGCATGTTTTGATTGCGTGGACCGCATGTTGATTTCATTACCTACGTAGACCGCATGTTTTGATTGCGTAGACCGCATTATCTAATTTCATTACTTGCGTAGACCGCATGTTAATTCTTTACTTGCGTAGACCGCATGATTATTGTTGATTTCATTACCTGCGTAGACCGCATGTTTTGATTGCGTAGACCGCATGTTGATTTCATTACCTGCGTAGACCGCATGTTTTGACTGCGTAGACCGCATTATCTAATTTCATTACCTGCGTAGACCGCATGTTTTGATTGCGTAGACCGCATTATCTAATTTCATTACCTGCGTAGACCGCATGTTTTGATTGCGTAGACCGCATGTTGATTTCATTACCTGCGTAGACCGCATGTTTTGATTGCGTAGACCGCATTATCTAATTTCATTACCTGCGTGGACCGCATGTTTTGATTGCGTAGACCGCATGTTGATTTCATTACCTGCGTAGACCGCATGTTTTGATTGCGTAGACCGCATGTTGATTTCATTACCTGCGTGGACCGCATGTTTTGATTGCGTAGACCGCATGATTATTCCACTTCATTACCTGCGTAGACCGCATGTTTTGATTGCGTAGACCGCACATTTGTTAATATCATCACCTACGTAGACCGCATGCTCATGATCAATTTTGTTTCCTGCGTAGACCGCATGCTTCATTTACATGTCTGTATTTTCGCAAGCATTGTTATGCTCCCCACTTGCTTTGCACTGTCACGCATTTCGAGTACACTATTATTGCATTGTCATGCATATTGCTAACAATATTGTACCCGTTAAGTTTGTTTTCTTTGCAGGCACGATATTGTATATACGGTTCATTTGAGGCTGGTGCAACCAGACGAGCCGGACAGGTATTGTATCCTCCGAGTGAGACGTATTGAGAATTACATAATTCTCTTACATCCTTTCTGCATTGTAGTGTAGTTTGGTGTATGCTAGCTTAAAATTGTTGCATGTATGCTTCATTACAGCTGTCTTTGCATGATCATAAGTTATGCTCGGCTTCGTGCATTGTCTTGCATTTTGCCCCTGCCTTCGGGCGCATATCACGCACGGTCTAGGAGACCTTAAATCCTTTGGAGGTGCGAAACCTTCGCTGCATTGTCATGCATACAGTTTGCATCCCGGTCTAGGAGACCTTAAATCCTTGGAAGGTGCGAAACCTTCGGCGCATTGGTGTGCATAGTTCACTTGCATTGCCATGCATGTCTCAAGCCGCACGTGTTGCGCATTTCAAAAACACATGCATTGTCATGCATACATTTTGCATCCTGGTCTGGGAGACCCTAAATCCTCTGAAGGTGCAATTCCTTTGGTGTTTGTCGTGCCCGAACGACTTTCGGTGGTCTAGTAAAGCCACCTGCCTATGTTAGTGCATTTCAAATCAATCGCGCTGTTTAGCGTATCGCATTGTCTAGCGGAACCTGCTCCAGGACTTTTGGCAATTTTCAGAGAGACAAGGCAGTAACAAACAGAGGTGGCAGGAGTACGGTATGGTTTTTTCGGGCAAGACGGTTTCGAGCATGCATCACTCGCACATCCCAAGGCAGAGGCTGTGGCCACCCTCCTTTTTTATTTTGCATCCTTTCTTTTAATTAATTAGAAATTCTGTAATATTTTATTGTTTATTATTTGGGTGTGTAATATTTATTTGGACCCTCCGAGTGAGGGCGAATCTGTAATAAGTGTGGGTGCGTGTGTGCATGTCTTCCAACCCCCACTTCTTTCTCCCTTTTTATTTACCCGCTTATGATGGTAGACTAGGGCATATTTAAATTAGCATAACAGTATGATAGCATGCGTGCATCCATACATCTGTCTTACATGCACCGGGCTCGGCACATCATGCTAACTGCACTTGCATTTCAATTCCAAGTTGAGAACTTGTTAGTTGCAGCATTTCACATGCCATCTTTAGGATAGCCGAGCCTGTTTAGATTGCATCTTTGCATGTGTTTTATTAGCCATTTTTAACATGAACTAGGATCATGCATATGATTACTGACTAGTTTCTGTTTTGGCTCCGAGTACTAGGTAAGCTTTTATGCTTTAGCATATCGCATGCGTGTGAGTGTTGCCATGACAGTATGATTACCATGGGGCTAGCTGCTTATGTGATATAACTGCTTGAATGCTTGTGGATGGAGGTTGAATTACCTAAGTTGGAATAATGCATTAAAACTGTGAGTTTTAAGCCCACTAGATAGTGGCAAAATCTGTATTTTAGCCTACTTGCGAGTAGCAAACCATTTTCAAAACAAACATGAAATGTTTTGTTCCAATTTGGGCGATTTGGTCTATACTTGTTTGATGCACGCATAACATAGTAATTCTAGGCTAACAATTGGTTTAAGAACACATAAAGTTTTCAAAAATGGATATCAAGTTAGTAGAGGCCGGTCTTCGGACCGGGCGAAAGGGGGTGCTCATAGCTGACCTTCCCCGATCGTACCCAAGCTCCCGAGCCGAGACAACTCCGGTGATGACGGACATGTGGCCTTCGGCACCGAGTCAGGGTTTCCTAAATTCTCCCATAAAAAATATTTAGGTGGCGACTCTGTATCTGGCAAAGCAGTCCATGTTTGGCACTACTTTTTTCAAAAATCTGTTTCTCAAAACGATTTGCCAGATTTGGACTCTTTGGTTCAGATTTAGAACCGTGACACAAATCGAGTCCGAACTGTAGCGCGAGGTCCCCCGCGGGCGCGTCTACAGACTCTTTATTTTGGAACTTACAATGGTAATGGATAAAACTTATACAAACCTAAACCTCATACATAGAGATCCTTTAACATAATTATGTAAGTCCCAAGTAGGCGATGCATTGAAGTAGATTCTTATGGTCTGGATTTAGTAGTAAACTATTGAAATATTAAATTTTTGCTAATTTTCATTATAACAATATTTTATGGGCTATTGAATTATGTTATTAATTTTGAAAATGTTTTGTTGATATTTTAAAATTTCTTGATCATTTGTTAATACCTCAAGAAATATTTTTGTCTTTGAGTTGTTGGTTTTTGTACTTATGTGAAGTTTCATTTGTCGTGCAGACAAGAAATGCAACAGGGTTAGTTGCTGCAACTATTGCCACGGGTTTAGGTGCCTTAACACATACATTGGGTACCTTCATCCCCGTGATAGGAGCAAGTGGATTTGCTACTGCTCCAGCCGCAACTGTTATAGAAACTGTTGTCTGTAGTTTTAGATAATCTCTTAATAGTTGTCGATATGTTTAGAAAGTTAAAATGCATAGTTTTGGATGGTTTAAACTTTTTTATAGTTTAAAATTTTAGGATATAGTTTTCGAATGTTTGGAATGTATAGACAATTGTTGAATATTTATAATTTATGGATATAGTTTCTTTTTGATGTTTCAAACAATATTTTAGTGGTTGATTGATATTTTGTGATGCTTGTTTGTAATATTTGTTAGATTGTACAAAATTGGTCAAATGGAACTTGTTGAATTTAAAAAAAAAAAAAAAAAAAAAAACTACGTATTTTACGCCAGACATAATAAGTCGTATTGCATATTTTACGGCGCACAATTAGCGTCGTTATTTGTCTCACCAATTAACGGCATGCAAAAGTAGTCGTAGAAAAAGTAACAATGACGCATAAAATCTGCTGTTAAATAGTTTTTAACGGCGTACTCTAACATGTCATAGAAAAAGTAACAACGACGCACAAAATCTGCTGTTAAATAGTTTTTAACGACGTACGAAGCATGCCGTTGAAAGTGAATGACTTTCCATGACTGGTCATAATATGACGCACACTGCACGTCGTAGAAGGGTTTGCCGTAAAAACGTTTTTGTTGTTAGTCATGCGTGTTTATGGACATGAGTTTGCTAGTGCATTCATCTAAGTTGTGCTTATATGTGGAGTTTTTGATATATTTCGCATCAGACAAATATGACACGCACTTGGATATGAATGGTTTT